TAGGGCTTTGAGATTCAAAAACCGCTTATGTGTACCTAATGATCCGGAGTTGAAGAAAGAAGTACTAGAGGAGGCGCACCGTTCGGCATACAGTTCATCCCGGATCTACGAAGATGTATAGAGATTTGCGAGAAACATTTTGGTGGAATGACATGAAACGGGATATTGCAGAATTTGTGTCTAGTTGTTTGGTGTGCTAACAAGTCAAGATTGAACATCAGAAGCATGACGGATTACTTCAGCCTCTTCTAATTCCTGTGTGGAAGTGGGAGGAGGTAACAATGGATTTTGTGACTGGTTTTTCTAGGAGTCAAAGTGGTAATGATACTATATGGGTGATTATTGATCTACTTACTAAATTAGCTCATTTCTTGCCTTGTAAAATCACACATTCTCTTGAGAAGCTTGCTGAATTATATGTTAAGGAGATTGTGAGGTTGCATCGGATATCGGTGACTGTTATATCAGATAGAGATTCGAGATTTCATTCTAGATTTTAGCAAGGTCTGAATAATGCTCTGGGAACACAATTGGGTTTCAGCACATCTTATCATCCGCAGACGGACGGGCAATCGGAGAGGACTATTCAGACATTGGAGGATATGCTTCGTGCTTGTGTTTTGGATTTGAAGGGTAGCTGGGAGAAACATTTACCTTTGGTGGAGTTTGCATATAATAATAGCTATCAATCTAGTATTGATATGTCCCCTTATGAAGCATTATATGGAAAGAGATGTAGATCACCTATTTGTTGGGATCAAGTAGGAGAAAGAAGGTTGCTCGGTCCTGAGATAGTGCAGATTACTACTGAGAAGATTCAACAGATACGTGAGAGACTTCGTATAGCTCAAAGCAGACAGAAGAGCTATGCTGATAATAGAAGAAGAAAGTTAGAGTTTGAAGTTAACGATCATATTTTCTTTAAGAGTATCACCTACTAAGGGAGTGATGAGATTTGGAAGAAATAGGAAGTTGAGTCCGAGATATATTAGACCTTTTGAGATTTTGGAGCAGGTTAAAGCTATAGCCTATAAAATTACATTGCATCCAGAGTTGGTTAAATTTCATAATGTTTTCCATGTATCAATGCTGAAGAAGTGTGTACTTGATCCGAGTCGTGTATTGAATTATGAGCCTCTTAGGATCAGGGAAGATTTGACATATTCAGAGTATCCGATTAGAATTTTGGACCGGAAGGAGCAAGCTTTAAGATCAAGAATTGTTAAGCTAGTAAAGATTTTATGGAAAAATCATTCAACTGAGGAAGCTACCTAGGAGCATGAAGATGAGATGAAGGAAAAATATCCTAAATTTTTTTAAGACTCAGGTATGTCCAAGTTTTGAGGACAAAACTTCTATTAAGAGGGGTAGTATGTAATAATTCTAAGTTTTTTTGGCTAGATATATATATAAGGAAAAGTAAATGGGCTTTTATGCAAAATTTGTTAGAGGGTCTATTAGTAAAAAAAGAACCTTTATAAATTTCTCAAAACCCTACATATTTTACCCGTCAGCCTCTTCTTCCTTCTTCCCGTCTTTTTCCGCCGCATAAAAAAAGTCAGAGAAGGGGGCCGATCATACTATAAGGATCAACAGGATTTTTTTTGGATCAAAATATTGACCAAGGTATTATCCTTTCCTTATCTTTAATAATCAGTTCATATTTGAAGGAATTTAACTTTATTCATGAAGCCACCCGTCATACCCCTAGTTAACTATAATAGTACCTAGATCAAGTTCACTTTATCTGATCCAGACCTATAGCAGGTCCAGGTCCTCGCTTTTTATATAAAAAAACGATGAGAATGCACAACCAGTTTCTCAATAAACTATGTAGGCTTGATTGAATGACAATTATGATCTCGTATGTATGTTAGTCAGTTAGTAGGTTATGAGGGTACTTGATTGAATGACAATTATGATCTCGTATGTATGTTAGTCAGTTAGTAGGTTATGAGGGTAGAATATGCAGAGTATTAATGATTGTTTTTTTATCTTTAGGGATTCCTAGGGATTTCACAGAAGCGTCATAAGTGTTGAACTTGGATTGTTGGTTGGTTTAAGGTAAGTGGTAAATTTGTACATTATTCGCTGCGTATTTTTCATATAAGATTATATTAACTATGTGGAAGTTTGTTCTGATGGAAAATATCCTTTTGTATGGTTGCTCGCATACTAATTGTTGATTGGATTAATGCACGTGGTTATTTGGTATTAGCATATGCTTATTTTTTTGTCAATTGTTATTATTTTCTTTGTCAATTGATATGTCTTTTCATATAGTAATAGGTTGAGATGCATATGTGGTTGATTGATTTCACTATCGGTTGGCCTTTGGCATTTTTGTATAACGTATTTAGTTATACAGACTTCGTTTAAAATTTTCTTAAAGCATATGCATCTCAGGTCAATATACAGGTATATGTCGGATATAAGAAAGTTATTAAAACAGGGCTTAATGTGCCTCAATGAGGTTTCTATTTTAGCGCTAAGAGCCCAAGTTTGGGTCTCACCGTCCCTACCACGGGTTTTATAATAATGAGGTTTGCCAAGTCAACCGGAGTATCGAAGTGTTGATCGCATTGAGACGTGATCTGCTTATTTCCATTGCATGTATATATTTTAAAAGTGCTGCATTATAGATTTTACTATTTTAGTATTTCGCTTATCAAGTCAATTTATTTTAGTTTTACAAAACCAGTGTCTAATGTATGAATTTATCCACTTATTGAGATGTGAACTCATTGTGTTGTTTTCATTCTTTTCAGATACTCGTGATTAGGTAGAATTGAGGATTTGCCAAATTCTTAAAACGGAGCAAGGAATATAACTCGAGATTGTTATTGTTATTGTTATTGTCTTATAGGCGAAGGTTAAATAAAATCTTTAATGTTTAGTTGATGAATTAAGAGTTTTGTAATAATGAGATTCTTTTTTTAGGTTGAGATTTATTTGGAGTTGAGGAATATTTATTTTTATCAAGTTAATTGGATTAGTGTTGACTTTTGGGACTATAGAGAATATTTGTTGTTGGTTTTAGTTCAATGAAGAGATTTGTTTTAGTGGTCTTTTGATGAATGTATATTTTGGAGGACTTTTCACATATTTAGTCCGGCTCTAATATTCCTTTTAGGTTCGGAAATTGGGGTCATGACAAAAAGAAAAGTGCTCAAAGGGTCATCCGCACAAATAGAATTATAGGACGTCTGTTTGTAACTGGGCAATACTACAGGAGGTCTGTTCACAATTAACCCTATATTAATTGGCTGCTATCAGAATTCCTATGATTGTGATACCAGCAAAATCTTCAAAAGTCATGGAACTAAATGCCACAGACTATAAGGGCTGCATGAAAATGTTAGGTTCGCCCTGTTAGGCCGTAGATTGGGTCTCGCTCACATTAGAATGAAGGTAGTATCTCAGCGCAACACATAGTTTTTTTTTTATGCTTTGGTTTTCTTTTTTTTCCCCTTCTTTCCTCCAATGTAGTTAGCCTACGTAGGCTTTCTTATCAGAGAATTCTTATCAGAATTCGGCCTTTTG